GCCTAAATTGCAATTGTGTAAAGTAAAACACTTTTGTATTAAGGCAACGAGCATTTCGTCATTACAAACCTAGCATTTGATCCAATACGAAACCAATTTCAGTGCTGCCAATCCATTGTTTGCTGCCAATGAACTTCTCTTCCTTGTCTTTAATTTCCACCAGACACTAAAACGTAAAGATCTTGCAGTCGCACAATTAGCATGATGATTTACAAACGACATTCATTTTTTTACATTAAAAGGAAAAGCTGACCTTCTGAATATCCAAATGGGTTGGAACTGGTTTGTCAGTAAATCCATTTAGAATAAACCAACTCCAAATTGACTGCAAACTTCGATAAGCACAGCCCCATCCTGCAAAATACAATTAGCATAAATGGAAGAAGATTTGTCATAGAAACACACCAGCATCATCAAATCCATCCTGCATGTAATGATAGTAGTTGTAGTCTCCCTTCACTGTAGAAACCACTCCTCGTGGTTTGTCTGAATGGTAAGCTTTTTGCATTGAGTCTTGGATCTCGCCAAACTTTCAAACGAAGATAGGAATGCGTAGAACAGTAAATGACCTTCAGATATGGAAAAAGCCAGATATGGAATTTCGAAACACTTAGTAATACAGGCAAAATGATTGAAATCGTCTATGTCAAGAAAAATGACACAGGAAACCAACAATTCTTTATGTGAAGATGCGGTGAACGCAAAAGCTTTGTGGGAGCAAATGTGATGGACTGAGCAGGTCGAAGACACGGTGCAGATAGCGGCAGATTAAAAAGTTTGTGAAGCCGTACTCGAAAAGAATCTGTAAATAAGAACGGTTGACACAAATAGCCAATTAACAATATGTCCAAATTACAGAAACTAACACTGCTCCGTCTCGCTGCATATAGGGGTCTCAAGATGAAGAAGGCAAGACCAGCCCGATGGTAGAAAAGTGTGCGACACAGTGGGATGCACCACACCCTAAAAAAAAACTAGTGCTAGTTGAGCGGTATTTTTGATTTGGAGAAAAAGTAGTACCAAAAAGATTGAAAATTTGTTTTACTTACTTGATTAGCTAACTCTCCTAGCATCACACTCATCATTCCACATACTCTGCGTCGTATACCTTCGATCA